CAACGTAACTCAAAGAGGTAACTTAAGCATAAAGACGATAACAAACGAGCAGATTCAGGGGCAGAGAGAAATAGAGAGAAAGAGAGAGAAACAAAAAAATAGAAAGAAAGATCAGAGTGGCAGTGAAAGAGAGAGAGAGAGAGAGCGAGAGAGAGAGAAAGGGAGAGAGAGAGAGGGTTGTGTACGAAGGATTGTGACAAAGAGAATGAGAGAGAAGACTTAGAATATATATAATAACGGTTCACGGGAGAAAGAGAGAGTGAGAGAACGAGTGAGAAAAATTAATGCCCGACGTCGGATGTCGGCCAATAGGGTGATTTTTTTCGTGGAGTGGAAAAGTATGTCCGGCAGTTTTGTGCAACCGAGGGCACGGCATGAATCGACGTGAACGCGTAACATGTCTCTTGAGATCTTTCTCTAGTGTTCGTGTCGGTGAGAGAGAAAGAGAGAGGTTTGAAGGTAGCGAGGGAAGAAAGAGAAAAGCAGACGACGACGACAACAACGACAATGACGACGACAACGACGACGACGACGACGACGACGACAACGACGACAACGACGACGACGACGACGATGACGGCGACGACATCGAAGGGCGCGACTGTCGCGGGATAAAGACAGGCTGGGAGAAACATCGTGGTTGAATAGTTTGCTTATTAAAGGCTTCGATGGAGTGTAAAAATAAAGTAACACAGAGTAGGACCCTTCCTCACTTCGATCAAAACGCGCGATAACGCGGCAACGAGAATCGCTTCACACTGGCCAATTAAAGAGAAGCATTCGAAGCACCCCTTCCGATTCAGAATCAACCCTTAAGATACGTAATACAATTTCTTCTCGTTGAAATACGTATATTGCTCCTCTGAATCGTCTCGTTGGTTTTTTTTTTTTCAATTATTACGGAAACAATTTTGATTTTAATTCCCGACAAGGATGATGAAATTGAATAGTAAAAGGGATATGCTTTAACAAGAAAAGCACTTATTAAAGCAAGACGATATAGAGACATCGATATTACAAATGGAGGATTAATTTGCCGATTCGACGAATCTGAACGACGCGCCTGAATTTATTCCTGGACGCGACGAGTTTCTATCGATTGTCGTAGGAAACGAGATGAAGAATCGCAAGGTTTTATGCTGGTAAGAACGCTCGGGGAGAATGGGGAAAAATATATAAGAAAATGGACGATGTCGCAGCTGATTCACCTGAGAAGGTGAAAAATGATCTCGCGTGGAGACGCCTCGTGGACTCCCCTTTTTGTCCCACGACCTGAAGTCGTTACAGCCGGACGTCGTTTTTTATCTTTCTTCGCCTCGAGAAGGAGATATCTAATATCGGGAGTAACGGGCAGAGAGAGAACCTGACAATAGAATGTGTCGTCAATCGTGTTGCGTAAACTTCTCTACGGAAATCCGAGACGAGCGAGTGTCAAATCGTTCGATCTTTCGCATCGATCTCAGCGTATCTCTCGAATCGAATGACGTGACCCATCCCGGCGGATCCTTTCGTCTTCGATTTCTACGTGTCCACTCGAGGGAGAAAAACGATCGCCGGTATTAACTCTCGGTAAACCGCGCGAGAAATCCGTGCAACGAAGAGATGACGACGTTCAGCGAAGGAGAAAAGCTCACGATTCGCGTTCGCGAAAAACACGTTGTTTTCTCAATATCCCCCGGCGTCGCGCCCTCGCGACGATAATTATCGATCTCGATTTCGTCGCGCGAGATCGCCTCTGGCTCGACCGATCGGCCCGGATCGTTGCGAGCTCGGATCGCGAAGGAAACGCGCCGGAATGTGGGGCTGCGGAGGAACGATTGACTCGGAGTCGACGAGAGGGTGAGATGCCGATGGAACCGCGCTTCGAAAGGGGGCCGGCTAGAAACGGTTGATCGATGCTTCGTGGCCTTCCCTCGTTGTCTCACGGAAGCTCACGGTGCGTTCTATCGATCGGATATACCTTCCCGGGCCGTTCCGGCGCCTCCTCCGGAGCGGCCGAAAGCCTCTTTTGCTGCTCCGGATTTCGCTCGAGAAGCCTCGCGGAGAGGAGAGACGCGGAAAGCCGTGCGAGGTAGGCGAATCCTACATGGCGCGCCGCCGTCCGCGGCTGGAAACCGGAGCTAATTGGAAATCGTCGGAGATCCTATCGATCGCGATCGGTTAATTAAATACGACGACTCTCAACGGTGACGGATATGCGCAGTTAGTCGAATTAAGAAGCGATCGATTTTTCTCCGATACCGCGTGATCGGATAAGAAATTAAGAAGCCTAAGCGGCACCTTCGGACAGGTGTTGCGACTGATACTCGTCGGACTTTAATATCTCTCGCTATCGAATAAGCATCAGACACGTCTATTTATAACGCTTTAAGCGATCATACAGTCACAACTGCAATATAAATTGCGCATTATGTTTTATACATGTATTTTTACATATTTTTGCAATAATATTGTCACACATTAAAAAAAGTAAATTTAAATAAAAAAATAAACATAAATTTGTCAAACAAATATACTTTATTACATTTTAATTTTACACGAGAAGAATTAAGAAGCAGGAAAATAAAAGTTTTTAACGTTCCTTCCAAAAATTTTTCTACAACGATTTAACTGAGTAATAAATTAAATTTAAGTTTCGTTGGAAGTTTAGGGACGTAGGTCCTGCTACTCCTAAAACACGATTGGATCTTAATAAAAGCGAATTTCGGCAAGATGTTACTCATGTGTTGGGAGAGAAGATATTCTATGCACATACGTCAGAATAGATGTATGCATTTCAAAGCAAACGGACGAAACGGCGAATATTGTTCTTCGAACTGTTCGGAGATGGACCGAGATCGCTCAGTGTG